TTCTGTGAGCTTTGAAAATTAATTGCTTGTCTGAAAGATCATTATATGCCTTTGATTTACTGAACTTGAGCTGGCCGTAGCCAGGTAAGCAAGATCGCTATGGTTGTAGCAGCGAGTTGCGGGTTCGGAAATACAGTTAGCTGTGAAATTTTGGTCTAAATCTACGTGACGGCCCGGGGTTTATTGGCAACCCTCAGCTAGCTGTGAAATTTATGCGATGTCTGGAATTGATGTCAGGCCAGCACAGCCAAATTTTGACCCCTAACATCACGATACTCGTTTTTATGTTTCCGGAGTTCGAAATTTATGCTTCTTTTAAAGGTGTCAGGTTGTTTAAATGTAAGCCTTTAACTTGTATATATCGGATGCATTTGATGAATCTCATTAATGGATCCTTCTAACTGTAAATCTCTGACTCTGAATTCTTAATTCGTCTATTTTTCTGCGGTGCGAATGTATTTGAATGAAAAATATATCATACTCAGTCACAATATGGAAGCTCGTCTCCTAATCTCCCGACGGCAACAGCTCAGAAATTCTCCAGCTTAGAAGGGAAGCCATTGCTCTGGCTCAATAGCACTTGAGGAATCGGTTCTTTTGATCGGTCTAATAATAAATATCAAGTGCACGACACTCTTTACTGGCAAATATGATTACTGTATAACTGAAGTGAAATTTGCTGTTGGTTAAAGGACGCACGCCAGTGTGTTAATGCAAATAAATTATAATGTAAATAAGGTTTGCTCTCCTTTGACAGCTGGGGAAATTTAATTAAATAAATGTGTAAGTTAACAACGATACATTGAATCCGCACGAATATGTTATGTAAAAAATTATTTTACCATTTGCCAGGACCCATAATTGCGTCGAAAATTTATTATACGTGAATTATCATGGTGCTAATCCTGATGAGGCGAGAATTCATTGCATTTTCAATCGCATGCTAAAATGTCCCCAATTCTGTAGCTCGTAATATAGCGTTGAAATGGACTCACCAGAACTAGTAACTTATTTGCATTTGTACACACACAGTCAAAGGTACCAGGTGTAAATCCTCCTAAAGGAATAGTCATCACACAAAATTTTCTTGTGAGATCAGACCAAATTTATTCTACGTACTTTTTTTATTACCAAATTTTTTCTACGTATTTATTCAGACCAAATTTATTCTACTTATTTATTTATTCAGACCAAATTTATTCTACGTGCAGAACGGGTATCATTACTGTACTCCCGGTTATTCTTCAGAATAAAGCCATCTTTGACTTTATTTCTCTCTAAGTGGATTTTACTGCGGCGTGTACTGGTATGAAAAACATTTTAAGCCCCACATTGTTCCATAGCTTGCGCATCACGCTGAGGTCGCCATTCTTTCATTCTTTTACGAGTGCATGCCAAACTGCCGTTTGCTGCCCGAAATTGGCCGGCTACAAAAACTACATGATCAGAGCAGGCGTGTGTTCCTCGCAATAAAATCGTTTGCTGTTGATGTTGACCCTTTATGCTGGAAATATCCTAGCGTTACAATAGAAACATTGGACTCAATTTTGTTTACTCTGCTGTAGAAGTGCTTGCAAGAGCTGTAAAATGAAGCTGAATGCAAGTCTTGTGACAGCTGGGACACTGAAGTGACTGCGCATTGCTCCCGCGAGTATTTCACGATCACGTTACTCAGAAAGAAAATATAGGTAATAATTTCGCTGTACTTTCAGGATCACTTGTGCATTCATTTCGCTTTGAGAACAGATGTGTTCGTTAATGCGTTACAAAATCTCGGCATTTATTTTTCGATCACTATTGTTCCTATGCTGCCCTGGACGGGCTCTCGCTCAGCGCTAAATCAAAGACTTGTTACGTCTTTTGCTGGTCATTACGAGCGGCGCCGCAGTCCATCTATAACGCCCAGCTGTTCCGTGCTCTAAAAACGAACGCCCGCCGTGCTCGCTCCAGCCCACTGCCGCTTATCTCGGCAGCCTCACACGCAAGCCTTTTCCTGCCTCATGAAGCAACTTTAACGTCCAAAAATCGGTAGTGTGCAAACTAATTATAAGCAATGTTTTTTATAGGAGAATTTCAATGAATAATTTCTAGTGCATTGACATTCGATTCTCAATCCTAACATGTGGCATTAATTATGAAGTAAAAAAACGCTCAAGTAGACGAGAGAACTCACTTCACTTTCTTTCTCCTGCTGGTATTGAACGGATTTGTGTCCTCCCATTGCACGGAAATTACGGGAGCCATGCTAGCCATTAGCCATCGGTTCCCCTACTAATACAGTTAACTTATGGCATCCAAATGGAACAACGGTTTTTCCCTCTTTAATTTTCTCCCCTCTCCTTTAAATGGTTTCCTTTTCGGTCGACTATACCTTTAAAAAACCTGCCACCGATCGACATGGCAGGCCGCTGTGTTCTCCATGTCTGCATTTTATGACTCACTTCCAATTGCAAATCAATCGACCTACTGCGGTACCAGCTTAGAATGTTGGAATGAAATAACATACTATGTTGGAATGAAATAACATACTATGTTGGAGATCATACATTGTTTGTAATATTGCTGCCATCGAATAATTACTAATTTTTGCTTCCCTTGCTAGTTTTCACGTCAGTTGACGAGTGTGCGAGTCTTTTATATATTATACAGTCGTTTCACTGCGTTTTGACTCCGTTAGTTGCAGGTTCACTGCATCAGATAAGCAGAATATCTTTCAGATTTTAACGTTATTGCAAAGCAACTCTTCTGAAACTTAGTCTTTTTCTTGGATCTGAGTTGGATCTGATGATACTAGAAATAAAATCTGAAAATGCAAAAATAACAACACTCTTGACGAGTTGATGGTAATTGATAACATTTACTATCAGAAATACTGACTCGATTATTCACAAAATTCCGTTCAACGTCTTACATAATTCAACGGGCTAGTCTTATGTACTGCACTAAATATTGTTTACTAATAAAAGACGTGCCAATATTGTATCGATCAGCTAGTTGTTTCGCGTAAAACCATAATTATAATTTCTTACGTGTGACTTACTCATTAATATTTTTTGGCAATTCTTCTTTCAGGTTTAATTTTTCTGATATATTTATTATGTGTAATCAGCAACGTTGTCTATTTTAATTAATAAGGAAGTTCCCTAGCACATGAAGTTAATTTGTAAATTTGAACATTAAAAGAAGTGATAGTCGGGATGTGTTTAGTAGCGGCGTCCTCATGTCTTCGTCAGTACCTGGTTCAGGAGCAGGCGCGTCTGCGCTACCGCTACGCCCGGTGGCAAGACGCCCGCGTGCGGCACCGCTGGATGCGGCGACAGAAGCGGTACCGTCAAGACATCACCGACGGCGACTGCCAAACGAACTCAGTCTTCAGCCCCGACATCCCGTCTCCTGAACTATCCCCTAAAAGTCTTTCCGATGATAAAGTTTTGTCATCAGAGAATGGATTTCATCGAAAAGAATTTTGCGATCCCGAGACAAAGACAAAGTTTGATTTTACTTCTGCTGACGGAAGCAAATCCTGGTGGGTGCAGAAGCATCGTATGATGAAGGTGTGGATGTTGGGTGATCAAAGAAAAGATCAAAGTGAAATCGATGACGGTGAGGAAATGAGAGTGATGTTTGTGCCTGCTAATCCAACGTTGGGAGGCAACAGAACTTACGTCCAGTTTCACTCATCTGGTGATGATTGTCGTGAAAAAAGAGATGGGAATGTTTCTAGAGGTGTGAGTTTTGATGAAGGTCAGTGCATAAATGACGAAGAGTTGGTTGATCCCATCACAGAATGCTCTTCAATGATGATGCAGGCAGACTCATTGAACCCTCAAGACGTGTGTTTGGGGAACATGTGCTCGTGCGAACCTCGTGCTTGTGGAGCGTGCAGCGCCAAAGAATGCAGTCTGAAGTGCCGGACAATGGATTATTCGAACGCGCCGAACCCATCACCGTCTTGCTGCCCCACTTCTCTGCTCTACACGGGACCATCGGCAAATTATAAATGCGCCAGTAATGCTAACTTATCAGAACCTTGTTCACTTGCCTGCACAGCCTCTGCGACGACCACAACTACCGCATGCGTCAGCCAGTACCAGCAGGCTAGCTATTCGCGCGTGTATCCTCGACAACATTTCTATCCCGAACCAATTTATGTACCTGAGGTGGAAAATTCTATAAATCATGAACGCAAACGACTAAATTACTCATCAACAAAAATTTTACGTCAAATGATGAAATCGGAACATTCTGAAAATGAAATTTCAAGTAACACTTCCAATGTCGCTTCGTTAGCTGTCCTCAACTCGAGCGCACCGAATCCTGGGAACCGGTGCTGCGACGGAGTTTATGATTCGCGGTCTTGCTCTTGTACGCACTCCAAAAGACAATCTGCATTCAGTTCTGCAAGCCCTTTACCCCATGCTTATTGTTTCAGCCCTCAAGTTCCACACAGGAGCGCAGATGCTCCATTTCCGATTAGTTGTGATGACGAATTGAATGCTCGCCCATCATGCTCCTCTTACTCCTTGGAAGATAAATATAAACTATACGATAATTTAGTTAACTGTAAGGATATGGATGGTAGAGGAGGTGCTGGAAGCAGTAGCGATCCTATTTATTCAGAATTAAATGTCGCCGTTGCAACTCAAGATTGTGAAAAACTCGATGAATCAGAAAATCTCTTTAATAATGAATCGGTTCCCGTGAGTATTTCAAACCGGCGTATCTATTTTCCTATGCGTACTTTCTGATTCTTCGTGTAGCTTGGCATTAATCACCAGATAATTTATTGTCATTTTTATATCTCCTAGAATCCAGTATATATATTATGTATTCCTTAGCAACAGCAGAATATCAACTAACTTTTGCACAACAATAAGTTTGAAAAAGTTCAAAATCTTATTTCCCTAGCTAGCAGTGAGTTCTCGATTTACAAGGAATATTCCATTGACTGCTGGTATCAGTGCAAGCAACTCATGTCTGATGTGACCGCGGTTTATCAGGGCATGGGCGTGTTATCACCGCAGCATCTGACGCAGCGGCTGAGCGAAAACGCACAGGCGCGTGAGGCGGTGGGAGGGAGCGACGCTGAGCTCGCGCAGTACCTCGCAGACGAGCGGGTTGCCCTCTTCCTGCAGAACGACGAATTCATGCACGAGCTGCGGGCCAACAGGGACTTCATGGCAGCTCTGCAGCGCGGTCAGTCAACATGGTCAATATTCGAATGTTGACCCTTTGTTAACCAACGGTTAATCTCGTTACCAAGCTACAAGAGTCTAGAATGAAGTTCATGCGAACCCTTTTTGTTTTTCGCATATAGTTCGATTAATTTTGGATAATGAAGGTTTATTTAAAAGTTTATTGTTAAATTTTGGATGAATTTGTAATCGTGTGCATTTCAGAATACGAAGAGCGCGTGGACGCTAGCGGGTGCTGGGAGGAAGGGCGCCGCGAGGCGGCGGGTGGCGGGGGAGAGCGGCGGGAGGCGGGAGCGAGCAAGGGCGGCTGGAATAAACTCGGACATGTGGACGACGCAACACTGAGGGCGCGCATCGCTACCATGGGCAAAGGTGAGCCTTCCATTGTTTCATGAGAGCTGCAATTTGTCGCTGCCACCGCTTCGTGAGCAAATACTTCTTCAATTAGGGCTCCAATTTTTAACGAGACTCCCATCAAACAGTTTTATGCCAAATACAAATTAAGAAGTTGAGAAAAAACTTTGTATTATTTAATACATTGGCTCTATCAATCATTGTCCCCCACAGCCTCGCGTAAGAAGTTCGCGCAAATTGCGCGTGTGTTCAGCCGGAGCGGCAAGCGCTGTAGCGGCAGCCCAGGCGGCGGGAGCGGTGGCGTGTCAGCGGCGGGTGTCAGGCTCGGTGGTGGGGATGGCAGCGTATTACAGGCGGCAGTGGCAAGAGAAGGTGGCGGCACTGCCACCGACCACCTGTTGGAGGCCGCGCATCCTCTCATCGACGAGGAGGACGAAGAAGAAGAGAAAATCTTAGACGACATCGTCATCGGCAGCGTGGACGTGGCGGACCTCAAAGAGGAGCTCGCGCCGGTGGGTGGCCGACGGTGCAATGCTGCGTGCAGGCTGACGGTATAGAATTTTTTTTTATAACATTTATGGTATTAATGGATACTTAAGATCCATGAGTTTGTGGTTGTGAAGCTGAGTTTGTGTTGCAATCTACGGTTGAGATCTTCCGATAATTGTTTGCAGTGAATGGAACGGGTTTAGATTGAAAACCTTGATGTATAACCTACATTTTCACAGCTCATGTCAATGAAACATATTCAAGGTCCTAAGCACCGTGATTAAAAAGATCTATATCAGAGTGTAACTTACAACTAAAGATTAAATACCTGTGAGAGTCTAACCCCCCTAAAGTTGATTCACACTACTTTCAAATTTACAAAAAATATGAAAATTACATGCTTCGCAAATTTAATTACAGTTCAGAGGCATTCATTTTTACAAAAAAAAAAAAAAACTTTCTAATATGAGTTCAGTATTGGACAAAAATTATGGTGTTAGTTCAACACATTAAATTGATGGTTTATATAGTATGGGCCACAAACATTAGTTCATTCCAGCTGTTTGGAAACATCCAACGTTCGAAAACATTCAACAATGTTCCCCAACAATTTGCAGAAGAAATGGCATCAATATTTTTCGTTAGATAACAAGCTGATGTATTCTTGAGTTAACTCATCACCTCGTACAGCGATTTGTTATGATTTTATAAACGTGAATGTTTCCAAAGCCGGCCTCAAATCATCTCTATCCTTCCACAAATCTGGATTGATGGAAGTTTATCATCTTGCAAGACACATTTATCTAGCCAGTGTTTGAAACGGCCCCCAAACTACAGCAGCCTTAGCCTTGCTTGTTTTTGATAGAAGCTGGTCAACTTTGACAAGGTGATCGAACTCTTAACCGCCTCAATTCAGGATAATTCGACAGGATAATTTTCCTGTCTCTGTGAGCTAGGGAAGTGTTTCTCCGACACTCCGACTTCATGTTTTCTGATCTCTCGCCTTATGCTCTAATTTAAGTCTTCGAATTAAATTTTTTTATGAACAAGCTCATTAATATAATGTACCAAGCTTGAATCGGTCTCTTGTGTAACGAGAACGGCCTTTGTGCTCTGAAAATCGGGTTCGATCCTGTGTGACCGCGATTTCAATAGTGACACCAGTTTTTCTCCTACATTTTCTCTTCAGTGTCCTAAATGCTATGCTTCCAACAGCCATCTTATATTCATTGGTCTCACTTTCCATATTGTCTGGGTCTGCTGCTTAACAATTTTCTAAGCCTGATGGAATCAATTCAATTTTAAATTTGCTATCTGTTCAAGTCGTTGTGGCATGCCATGCATTTTCTCATATCTTCCAGACTTCTTTTCTCGTTGGCAATTAGCATTTAGGTTACTCCAAACATAGATACTTTTTTTCATTTATTTCGCTGTTCATGAACGAAATCATTGCAATATTGCAAAATTGACTACATTTCAAAATTCCGGCGAGAGCGATGTGAAAGATATTGTCGAGTTAGGTTCCGTGAGCTGGAATCTAAATAGAAAATAGTTAGTGGATCGCAAACCTTGGTCTTCTTCAGGAGACACCGATTTGACGTTTTTGCTATTTGATTTTTGAGTTATGTATTTTTGGAGCGTATCATCTCCCTAAATATGAATATGGATAACTTTTTTTTGCAGATGAGCTTGCCACAGCTGTCAAGTTCACCCCGACGAGCCCGATGAACATCTTACAGACGTTCTTTAATTCCGATTGATATGTGAACAACCGTGTGGTCTCGAGGGAATCTAATTAAACATTTGCATATGTCAGAGAATGAAACTATTTCAAAAGCTGGAGGCTTGTCTTAATTGTGCAAACGTCCTGATTGAGCCGAACGTCAACGTCATCATGCCGCCTCTTCACACACACACACACACACACACGCGCGATGCTGGATGTCCCCCATTGGATAACGAGGCATGTTGTTGTTGTTGTTGTAATTGCTCATCCTGGTAGTGGCGACTAGGGAGGGGGCGTGATAGGCCAGTTTCGGGTGCTACTGGCCTATTGACACTTGGTGCTACTGGTAGTTCTACGACCATCACTGGCTCGCTGACCCGCCAGAACCATTTTATTGCATTACACAACACCCTGGACAAGCCAGGTACTCATTTTTCTACCAGAGTTGGATGAATGGCCGAGTTGACCGAACCCGGGACCTGGGTGCGAGAGACAGAATCTCTCATCACCGCAGCTCATAACGAGGCATGGCTGTCCATTGTGTCCAGCTTTCATCCACACCCGTCGAAGTGTTAACAACTGCGCCAAGACTGGCTTGTGTGGTGTGCTGATCACTGCGCTTCAACACGGGTGGCTTCTAAAATACTATACGCTGGATCTCTATACGTAGTTAATTATTTACAAACAACATCGTGTACTCTACTTTACTATTATTTCCGGATAAGGTTTTAAGCGAGCTTTGGTAATACGAATTAGTCAAAGAATTGTGCATTATTTGTTACGTGTTACTCGTTAGTCTCAGCCAGCCCACTGTACAAAATTAGGAAATCGGAAGAAAATTCTACCCCAAATCAATTATTATAACGTACCACTTTACGTAAAACTTTAAACAGGAATGAAGATACTAGAATTTTAATTTATGCTATGTGCAATATCAGCAATTATTGGTGGAACTGTTCTAATTACGGTATATATAATTTGAGCTCTTCACTTTAATCGATGGCCTGATTGCATTCATTTCTTATTGAGCTTAGTTGCGTATGATGCCCCATAACAAAAGTTAAAACTCAGTTCTTTAATCATTTAATGAATTTTGAATGCTTTAAGATGCTTTCAAGTTATAGTCCGCCCCTGCTTAGAGAGCTACCATAATTCGGGTCATTTCTGATTTATATCGGAATAGCGTAATTGATTCAAATCCGCTCTGAAAACAATGTTTTATTCAGTTTATTTGAAACGATGTTTTACTGATGTATCTAGAGTATTTCTTTGTCCATATCTTTTTGCTAATATCAATCCTTAAAGAGGTGAAAAATTCATCGACTCAGGATGCAGATTTTTTCTCGCATCCGAACTTTCGAAGGACATTCTGGGGATAAGCTCGACTCGCCATAATTAATTTACTCTCAAGAAAAGATATCGAGAAGCTGTCGAACTAGAGTGGCTAAATCATGTTGATACTTGCATCGCTGTTTCCTAGTTGATGGCAAAAACAGCGCAGCTAAAAATCGAGCTGCCGTAAAAATAAAAGTATTTGTGGATCGCGTGACTGATCATGTGATGCCGCTCTGAGAGTTTGTGATGCTTTTCATACAATTTTTAGAAGTCATAACCCGATCTCACAAATAACTTTGAATTTAGCATATTTTATTTATAAAATGAGGCGAGTAGAGTAGTTTTTAGGTTATATTTAAAACCTTAGAAGTCGGTATTAGTGTCAGGGAAGGCGTCTTTTCGGACTTTTGAGAAAACGTGTGTTTACTTCTCTTGTTAAGCCATGCTAGGGCTACAGGTTCACAGGGTCTGCCTCTGGGGCAGACAACCTATGACGGTTATTTGTTGTGTGCATTATTAACTCTTTATTTGTATGCTTTCTTGTGTCATGCTTGGTGTCTATGGATAGTTTCTGGTGTTTTGTGAATGAATATGAAATAAAGAAATGCAGTTATTCAGACAATGATAACATAAATCGAGCAACCGGGGGCCATACTTTCAAAAAAAGTTAAGAGATCGTAAGTTCATCAGCCAATCATTGACGGCCTTTCAAGCAAAATCCACCAATCATAGACAAGAAAATAGAGCGTAAGTACTTACGTTCACTATACTTCCAAAAGAAGTTAAGAGATCGTAAGTTCATCAGCCAATCATTGACGGCCTTTCAAGCAAAATCCACCAATCATAGACAAGAAAATAGAACGTGAGTACTTACGTTCATGTAGCGAGTTTTGAAAGTATGGCCCCGGGACAGTTGATGTGCGAAATTTTAAATTAATATAAATGATTATTCATGCACCTGACAGAGAAGCGATCGATGGTTCGTCAGTATCAAAGCTCAATTGACTGCTCACTTGGGAAATAATGGATTAACGACGATGAGACCAAAGAAACAATTTGTACGATCAAGAGAATTAAATTATATTGAACAATTAAAAATGGAGCTAGGATTTATTAAATGTCAATTCAAATCAAATAAATGACCAGTTTTAAACAGGAAATAACTTTTTTTCAGGCAGTTGTGTCAGGTGCAACCATAGCACAAACCATGCTAGCTAAGATCGTACGGTATATGATAGGCAGAACAACAAGGCCATCTTGCCATGTCTTCATGTATATGCATGTGTTACGCTTTTAGGATAGAGTAGCCGGATAAATGGTACTTCTGGCTGTTGTGATGCCTTCGTGATCTTAATTTTATGTAGATGAACTGTGCCGTTTCGTTAACGTTACTGCGAATATTCTTGTGAAAATTAAGTTGAAGCTAATGTAGCCTATTATAAAAGAGGAGTGTATGATGCTACTGCAAACTAATTATTCCTTGCTAACGAGTTATTTCTGCATTACTCTAAAATTGTGCGGCGCTATTAGTTACTGAAAATCTTCCTATTTAATGCAGATGCTCGCTGCATCATAAATAATGTCCGTCTGTACTACACTTAAATTCCCAGTCTGGTACTGTAAGAAAATTTTTACTCGCCAACTCAAAAGACAAAATAAAACGCCGTGGGCCGGCATTACGTCTTTATTCTAAGCCACGGTGAAATATGCCAAGACTGATGTCGAATATTTTATTGCACAACGTTAAACGCTGCGGGAAATTTTAATGTATATACTCAGGCTTTGTTAGTCCATAATCTTAATGACATCGACGTTACGGATTTCTTTCATTGATATTTGTCTTCCGGTAGGCTTCATGCTTCAGAGCGAGCAAAAGTTAGCAATAAGACGAGCACTTTATGCCTCGGCAGCTTGTCACTTCAACACTTCTCAATCAAATTATTCAACAAGAGATTGGAATTTTATAAACGAAAATCCACCGTATCTGCGTTAATGATTATTATTTATAATTATTCGAGAGCAGCTGTTGCATTGACAAGAGCAGAAAATAGATCCCAGTTAAAAGAAGATCTAATTAACGCGTATGTGGTGTCTCTCTAAGTACATGTCTCATTATGGCTTTGCCGTTCCCAAAAGCTTCCTATTTAATGCAGATGCTCGCTGCATCATAAATAATGTCCGTCTGTACTACACTTAAATTCTTTATATGTAAAAATGGTATTGTATTTCTCATTTCATGTAGAATTATATTAATATCTTCAGCATAGTATTGTTTTATTTTACAAGTGTTTTTGCTCCAGTGGATTATTGCCGTATTTTTGAGCTACCCGTATATTCAAAAATACAATAGATATTTCCATTTTGGATGAATACGCAGGTGGGTAAATTTCATCAAAAAAATTTTTGAAGGTAAATTTGGCGAAAAATATTGTAAATTAGACCAGCAAGCCTGGCTAATTCCAAGATTGGTTTGAAATACAAATAGAAGGTGAAACCACCACGATTTGTCATCAAGACAATTTATGTACATTATCGGAAAGTTTACAATGGACAGGAGCGATGACAAACCGCAAAAAGAGTTTCCTAATGAAACAAGAAAATGTAAATAAAAATTGAAAAATTAAATTCTAGTCAAAATGCCCAATGTAATCTCTGGCCTATGTGTTGCATTATAACAAAATGTGCAGGGCAATCTCCAGTGAGGCATCTTGATGAGAGGCAAATTTATGGATGAGTAAGAGCAAGTGGGGCTTGAATGAGTAGTGCTCTTAGACTAAGTGTAAATCTTGATTGGGATAGCAAAACCGTTATCTACATCCAAAAATAAATTTCAAAATCGTAAAATATTCAATCAAAGCCGCTTTACAACGACCAGCTAGTAATAACAAAACCATAGTCAAATAACAAACTCTTCAGGCCTTGGACGCAGCTTCATATCGAGCAGTGATGTCGTTCCAGTTGGCCACTTTCCAGATGGCTTTAACGTAGTCCGGGCGCACGTTCTTGTACTGGAGGTAGTACGCGTGCTCCCACACGTCGATCCCGAACAGCGGCACCAGACCTGTGCTAGCCTCCAGCGGATCCTGTCAAGTGATGACAGGAAGTATAGAGAAGAGAAGAAATAAATAATCTGAACGCGACTTCTTTCTGTCCAATAAATAAGATAAATCATGAATAAATGCAAAGACAAAAAAATAAGAGGTTTGAAATATAAAAAAAGAACTACCATACCGCAATGGAACGAAACCTATCTAAAAATTCGCTAACAATATTATTCCAGTGATTCAGCAAATTGCAGTGGAATCACAGCCGCCGAAAGTCATTGAAATCCGGCTAATCACGTAAGAATTCCGCTCTTATTTCGATGTTCTAACGCAAAAACAATGTTGTCTCAACAATATCGTACATAGTAAGCAAAACTAACCCCCTAGAGTAAATGAGAGATCATATTACAGACTGTCTATACAAGCTCCAAGTCTCACTGTCAAACGTAACGGTCTTTAAAATGTTAAGACAATCTGGAGCACGTAATGAAATGGTAGTAATTGTCTTCTACTCGTTATCTTTGCTAGTGCGTAGTCTACCTATTCCTTATTGTTCATCTTTCAATATGTATATCTATCTTATTCTTCCCAAGGTAATGCGAACACTCTACTTATTCTTCACATGCAAATGCATAAACCCTTATCAGTCTTTATGTGACAAGGCGTATAATCTTTTTATTCTTCATGTCATACAGTGTAAATTCATAGGCGTGTAAGTTCACACACGCACGGCTGACAAAAAAGTTTAGCGCTAAATATTTTATGACGTTCGGGCGTTTCAGCAAACTTGAAAATATGAATGACGTCACAATGACGCGCAGAGGGAACAATGATGGAGGGCAGGGAAGGAACAATAGTAAGCCACACTAATGAGTATCAGAACAATAATGGACATAAGCAGTCGAATTGGAGCAGCCACTACCCTAGCAGCCACTGCCGCCCCAGCAGCCACTGCCCTAGCAGCCACTGCCCCAGCAGCCACTGCCCTAGCAGCCACTGCCCTAGCAACCACTGCCCTAGCAGCCACTGCCCTAGCAGCCACTGCCCTAGCAGCCCCCGTCGCAACTCAGTGAAGGTAGTGTACCTGGTTGGGGCAGCGTCACAACTCAGTGAAGGTAGTGTACCTGGTTGGGGCAGCGTTCTGGTTGGGACAGCGGCGTAAATCAGTGAAGGTAGTGTACCTGGTTGGGACAGCGGCATAAATCAGTGAAGGTAGTGTACCTGGTTGGGACAGCGGCGTAACTCAGTGAAGGTAGTGTACCTGGTTGGGACAGCGGCGTAACTCAGTGACGGTAGTGTACCTGGTTGGGACAGCGGCGTAAATCAGTGAAGGTAGTGTACCTGGTTGGGACAGCAGCGTAACTCAGTGAAGGTAGTGTACCTGGTTGGGACAGTGGCGTAAATCAGTGAAGGTAGTGTACCTGGTTGGGGCAGGCAGCGATCTGCATGGCTTTCTTCTGTTTGTTGTAGCCCAGCCACCCCCAGCCCGACCCCTGCACGCCCACCGCCGCCGCCGACAGCTGCGCCTGCATGGCCTCCAAGCTCCCAAAGTCCCGCTTTATTGCCTCCAGTAAGGCTCCTGTCAGGCATGCAGTCACTACTTTAAAATGCATAATTTATCTCTTATTTCTCTCAATAATATCTGATTTGTTAAGAGATTTATTAAGAGGCTAATGACATTTAATATATACAAAGTACTTATTTACTCTTAGCTACAAATTAGTATGTTTTTTAAATATATACCACGAAATTTCAGTTTCAAAAATTGTAATAAGTATGTAAACCCTTTCAGAATTCCTATGTTTCAAGATTAGCAGCAGAGATAATAATAGAAGAGGAGCAAAAGTTCATAGTCATTATGTATATCAAACTCAGGCCAGTGTAGCTAGGCAGAGTGGTATGCATGGGACAATTTAAACACTTTGATCAATAAAATAAGGCAATATTCATGCTTAGAATTTATTTAGGTAAAATTATCAAATAAATTAAAAAAGTACAACAGTTCTATTAATAATTGTTTTGTTTGAGAATAAATACAAATTCTACACTAGGGAATCTCATATTCTGTAGGTACCTAATCATTTTATGTGGGTTGGAAAGCATTGTAGAGGAAATAGATTTATTGCTGATTTTTAAGTTGCAATGTATTAGGTTTAGGATTTTGATTTTGTCATTTTTGCTGCTGATTTGAAAATTGGCTTTAATTTATTTCTCAAGCATGGATAGTTTTTGAAATATTGGCATTTTCAAGTAAATATAATAATTCTAAATGTACGTATAAATAATTATGTATTTAATTGTAGCAAACACCACCTATCCTAATATCTATTACTTGTAAATAAATTTTGGCCATGCTTGTAGCTACATTGGGACCTAATGCACAAATATACATAATACACTAATGAAAATAATTGTATTTTATAAATGTAATACACAAATATTTCACATTTTAACTACGTGAAAGAAGCAGTTCCTACAAGCCGCACAGCAAACTACAGGAACACTTCTAATATAGCAACTATGGAGGACAGTGAGAACCTTTCAGTGTTTGGCATAGTTTTTATCATATGCATATTTAATAACAATTTGAGGTTCTGCTTGTTCTTTCTCCTGACTTAATACATGATTGTTCTTCAAACTAGCATTTTTATCTATCATTGTGCCGTACATTAATAAAAATCTACTTAATTGTACAAGCGAAGGTATTAAGCATATTTGTGCACTGGGTCATAATATAGACACAGGCACACAATATTTAATTATAATTAATACATATTAATATGGAGCTATGCTTCAATTAAATACCATACATACATATGTTCATTTATATTTTAACTTAAAATGCCAATATATCACACAAAAATGCATGTGCTAGAGAAAAAAAACCAAGCCAGTTTGAAAATCAGCAGCAAAAATTCTTTCCAATCAACACAAAATGATCTCAGACCTTTTTCTATTTTCATTTTTTTACCAGTGTGATCAACTGTAGCACTAGGACCACATTCCAGCTTTGCATCAGTTATTGTCAAGCTTATCAGAGATGCTCACCAAACACAATTAAAAAATAGAAGAAATTCAAAGTTAAATGGGAAAATTCAACTTGAAGAAATTTTAAAAACTAGCCACTTAACTTTGAAGTAGTACATATTAATAATATATACCTTGTGGTTCCCCTCCATTGGGTGAAAGGTTCTGCCAGAAAATTGAATGGTTGATGTGGCCACCACCATTGAAACGGAGGGCACCAGCAAGACCAATGATGGCAGTTGTGTCATCTGTGAATAATAATATAAACTTTAATAAAGAATAAATAAACTTTAAAAGAGTTGTCAAGGCAATAAGGCTTCATTAAGATAATTGATGATCAAGTTATTGCCTTTCTTGGGTTTTAGGCCCTGATATGTGTACCATAAAACTTGATTGACTTGGACCATTTTTGGTGTTCATATTTTTGTGATACAAATAGTCACATAGTAAATACATGAAATATATTTCTTTATTAGGTTTGTAGGTTATCTCACGATTCTCAAGGTGCCATCAATACAATTTTTCTAAGACAAGAACGTTTTCAGTATAGAGTTTTAATTTCTTAAATGTCAAAGCAGTGCAAGTCATCCCGTTCTATGGTAGTAAGTACGGTACTGCAGCTACAGCAGACAAACACTGGCCTGTCTTGAAAGTCACAACAGGAACAATTTATACAAAGTGAGCAATTTGAATAAGTGGTCAATAGGCCTAATGCTCTACAATTCAATATGAACATGTTAAACAGGATTCATCAATCTCAAAGATTAATTACATAGTCAATTTTCCATGCTAGTTGAGAGGAAGTACCCCTGTACACATGCGCAACTCAAAAGCTCAAAAGCAACATCATTCACTAACCATATCAGGAAAATATTGCCTAGTCTGCATACTAATATAAACTGACAAATTAATTTGGCAGCCAAATGTCACCACATAGGCCCATGACTAGAAACTCCTCATTAACAATCAAGGGCTAACTTTCTGGTATTAGGTACTTAACTGAGCATTTGGAATGTTTAATTTTATTTTTGTAGAGTAAGGAATATCTTGTTTTGCTTTGAATATTTGAGACATGCCTGGTCTTGTTACCTCACACTTTGTTTTATATCTGTCTTCTATGGTTTCATAATAACTGGGACACAAGTTTTTAAGTTCAGGACATAAGTCTTGTCCCATGGTTCATACATTTTTTCTGGGACAAATTTTACCCTCTGCTGTTTTTTTTTTTTTTTTTGTCTGGTGATTTCTCCTCCTGGTTCATTTTGATAAAATTATTCCAAGATGAGACAGTCTAAGAAAAACTTCCTCCAATTTGGTGAAAACCAGCGCAATCATCAGCTCTTTGATACGACGATAGTAGCCAAGGACACAGCATTGCAGTTTAGTTCTTGCTCAAATGTGTACACATATCTAGTCATGTTGTCAGCATTTAAAGCAGTGTAGTCATATCTCTAAACACCAGCACCAACATACAAATCAAGCATATCCAGGCATGATAAAATGTAAATACAAGTACTATCTACATATAGGTAAATGAAATTACTTGCATATATTCTACAATGCAATACTTATACAGTAACAATTGAAATAAATGCTAGTTCCTTGCACAACTAATAATGCTAATGGTCATCAAGGTGTTCAATTATGACAAGTCTTGGTCTTCAGGTAAATGAATGATGTACTTTTACAGCTCATTTAGCCACCAATAGAAAAGTGCAAGAGAGCAGGCTAAAAATCTGTCAAATTTTCATTCTTGCAATATAGAAAGTTCAAACTAACAATTTGTATTACCCTTATACATATGTGATCTGACTGGTTCTCATGATGATCCCATTTTTTCTATTCCTAAAGCCAATACAGTTTTCCAGTCGTGATTCAAATGGTTTTCACAGAGACATTCAACCAGAAAATAACCTGATATTGCTATTCACTTGGTAAGCAATTTAAAATTCCCTTAGTGCAAATTTACTCAGTGATGTACTACACATAGTGACCACTTACTTTTAGAAATGGCATCATGAAGTTTTTCTTCAGCAATGTTGAGATTGTTGACATAAGTCTGATGATGTTTGGAGTGATGGAGCTGCATTATTTCAGCACTGATTATTGGCTCCAGTGCATTGTAGTCATATGGTAGATCAGGCAAAGAGTGCTTCTGTCTATGTGGCAGCAGCTGGAGACTGCGTGTGCCACACCAGATACTCCTTTAAAACACATAGTGATGCAACATATAAAACCATGTACAACCATTTATTCTAATCATAGTGTGTAAACAATCTCTGTGATAAATCTGGTATATTACTGATGTTCACTGCTTTGTCTGGGGAGTTGCAACATCAAGAATCAATTTATAACTAGCATCAAAATGCATGTGACTGCTACATAGCAACAAAGTGAGCCAAAATGATGCATTACATACTGTACATACAGAGAAGAGATCTTAAAAACAATTATAATACGAAAACTGAACTAGTATCTCTAACTGAAATTTAAGCCACAATTCCAAACAGGGACTGGGACTATTTTGACCTTTCTTTTCCTGGTGATTGAATATACTGCCATAACTTGAAAATAAATCTTAAATAACAAACCTTCAATACAAAAGCTTTGCCTCATTTTTACATGATTAATAGACACAGCACTGCATTATAGTGAACTACATAATGTTGAAATTGTCAAAGAACAAAGAGATGTATCATTTATATTAGGATCAAGCTTAAATTGGGTCTCAAAAAGACAATGAAGCTAGTAAGTAAAAATAAAAAATTTATATGACAGCTTTCTCAGATTATGAAATCCATTTACTTTTTCAGGGACAGGAATAAAATAAACAAGAAAAAAGCAATAAACTAACAAAGAAGAAACTTACCTGTTCAAAGAATTGCTAGTAATTTGTCGTAGCATTATTTAATGTACTGATGCAAACAACAATACTTGCTGATGTGTAAATCAATCTAAGAGGTCCTTTTTCTGAAAGAAATGGGGGGTAAGTGCCAGGTATTACCCACACAGTGAGCAAGATTGGAAATGAAAAAAAGACAGAAACTGGGAATTTAATGCAGCATGAATTAACAACACAGGCCACAGGGTCTTTGTAAATAAATATTATAAGAAATTCTGTTCCATTTCAATTTAAGGAAGACTATGAAGATTAAGTTTGAATAGTTGTTAACGTCTAGGATAAGCAATTAACAGTGAGGAGCTTGGAAAGAGGTGACAAATGGTGCATTTGAGATTGCTGTATAATGTACAGCATAATGTGCATTTTCTCTCTATATTTACTTGATTTAATGCATGAAATGGGCCCCTAGTCCTATTAATGCATGCGAATTCACTTCTTTGGTTGGACCCAACATTGCAAAGTCATCTATGATGCATTAATTACTTTGGCCTTAATGCCGGCCTAAAACCGTAACCTTATTACCGTGGTACCATAAACTGGGGTAACTTTGACCATTTTTTTCAAAAAGATGCCATTTTTTTACTAGATAAGTTAAACTTAAATTGAAACATGCAAAATACAGGTCTATACTCTAGCTTCACTCACCATAAACTGCTGGCTCCTGCCTCTCATAGTTTTGATGTAATTAAAAAAAAACTGCTGGTCTTTTTTACCCCAGCTCTGGGGGTATCTTTGACCGGGTGGTAAAATCAATTTTATTTTTTGGTAAAATAACTCCAAATAACTCCATGCATTGTAGTAGAACTCTTCCAGTTACATATGCAAAAGAAAAATTTTAGGAAAGTGTCATAGTTTGCAAATGGAGGGTGCTGCCCCCAAATGGGCAAAATGTGACCATCTAATGGCAGCCGTGATGGGGTAACATTGACCAGTTTGGAAATTAAGCTAAAATTACCATATATAAGACTCTGTAGAGTCTGAAACATGAAGAAAAAAAACATTAATAGGTGTATCAAACATAAAATATGTTATATAGGTACCTATGGTAATTTTAACTTAATTTCCAAGCCGGTCAATGTTACCCTGTCATGGCTGCCATTAGGTGGTCAAAGTTACCCCATTGGGGGGTGGCACCCCCCATTTGCAAATTATGACACTTTTCTCAAATTCGTCTTTTGCATATGTAACTAGAAGAGTTCTACTACAATGCATCAAAACCTGGAGTTATTTTGCCAAAAATTAAAAAAATTGGAGGGGGGTATTCTGACAGGCTTTAAAAATAGCTTTTTTTTGTGGGTCACATTTTAATTTTTTTAACCTATTAGATATGCAAACTTTTTAAATCTTTCTATTGTGTTACGTAGCCTCAGTATTAGGTCTTTAATGCCCATTGACAAAATTTTTCTATGTCAAATGGTTTTTGAGTTTTGGGGGTTTTTGTTAAAAAACCAAAAGTGGTCAAAGTTACCCTGGGAGTCAAAGTTACCCCAGTTTATGGTACTAATTAACTTATTTACTAAATTAGCTGAGTTGGGCCAACCTACAACTAAGCTTTGCACATTTAACCTAAATCAAACCTCTGAATGGCATCTATGCCACTTCTAAATGGAGCCATCGGCAATAATTTAGAAGGTTGGTTAAATCAATATTTCATCGCACTTAACTGTACGACTATATTTGACATCATATTGATCAATTCAACAGTCCTTTATATTTTACTGTAATTCAAGAAGTCTTTGTTACGTTACAGTATATGTAACGACTTGCATCACACATCACCCATTTTGCGGGAATTTTGTCATACGGAACGCCTCTTCTGTTTGCTGCTGCGTGCTGCCATATTTATTTTCACAAGGTTGATGCTGGGAATCAATTTCACTGTCAAATCATATGCCAATAATTTGGAATAAAGAATATGATCAAATAAAGCATACTTGAACTACATTTGTCAGTTAATCAGACTTTTTTTTCTCTGGTTGCAGTTGCTCCACTGCTTCTTCACTTCTTATTCTCTTGTCTTCGGAAACCTTTGAAGATTTATCCTGTGGATTCTTAAATAAAGTTTATCAGCAATTATATTCGTGTAAATTCCTTACAACATTAAGCTATGAATAGTGTAAATAATACCCTTGGCAACATGAGCACCTGTTGAAGATTAGATTCAATAAATAATTGTAATTCAACGCTTTGACTTTGATTGCTTCATCTTGTACTATTATTTCATCTTTTGTACATTATTTAAACAGGGTTTGCAGATGGTCATTTTTTCAGACAAATTCCGTGATTTAGTTTTTCTCAATTGCTTTGACCTGCAAAAATTTATGATAGGGGTACTTTCTGATTAAATTTATTAAATACTGCAAAAAGGAAATGAATGGAATTTTTATAGCAGATTCTACAAATAAACCAGTATATATAGAGTTATTGACATTTTTTAGCCTTTTTTGTTCTCAGATTTGGCCAATTTTAGACAACCCTGAATTATGTACCACTATGTCCTGGAGGAATACATTTCGTGGTATGCATATGTACCACTTTGGAGCCTATGTGTTTAGATTAAAAAAGAAATAATAAGTTAGGCTAGTTTAACTAAGTAGCCAAATGTTTACTATCACTTCAGCTATTTAGCTATCTTGCACCAAAAGTCAAGATGAATATCACCAAAGAGGTGGAAGGTCTCAGGTCCCAAAGAGGTCAGAATAAAAATTTTATATCAAACAAGAGACAACTAAACAATTCCACAACAAATCTGAGGTACTATACAATTGAAACAGTTTGTCCACCTTTGATCCTCTTTTTCCTTTATAGTCAGTCACCTGGCTCTGGCAGAGCACTGTATTTGAGGAAAGCCTTCCACCTTGGATAGAAAGTGTTTTTATAAGTGAACTTCCATTCTTAGAATTCTGCCCTTCAGTTGGGCAATGTTCCATATTACTTACATTAGGTTACCCTGCTTACCCAATCAGTTGGTTCCCAGTTAGGCCTAGCCTGCCTAGGTACTTAGGTTCAACCTCATCCCCCAATAATTATCAATAATCAAGTATTATATCAGGATAAATAAATTTCAACAAAAGAGAACAACACCCAATAGATAGGTATTGTTATAACGGGAGTTGGAATGCAATCTCTCACTAAACCTGACTTGAATTTTCAAAGAACCTTGAATGAGTTAAATCCTTTCCCTTCTTTTGTTGAATTTGTTCCCCTCCTCATTTTTCTAACAAATTAGTCCCAAAAAGGGACTTGATGCTTTCCATTCATTAGGTTTAACTGGAAACTTCCTAGTTGAATAAGTTGATACAACATGGAATTCAAACATGGCAAATACACTGGCTGGGGCATGGAAAGCTCAAGCTGTGGACTGGAGCAAGGAGCTGCAGGTATATACTATATAGTATACATTATTATAGGGTAAACGTAGTATATTCCGACATCATGGGTACTTCCGACACCTCTCTAGTTTTTCCTTTATATTAAGCTTTGTTTTAGTTCCATGCGTTTGTTGATGGTTGAAATAGCGACGTCATACATTTGCGCGTCAAACTACTGCCAAAACACTAGGTTTGGGTGATCTAGCGGGAAAATGTTGAGATCCAAAGAGAGACGGTGCATGCCACCCAATGAGATCATCGAAAAATGTGTCAAAGTTGGCAGTTGACCTTGCTCTACCAAATAGTGATAAACTGTTTGTGTAGAAAGAATATTATGGTTTGAGACTTTTAAATACGTCTGTGAATATATTAGGAATCCTTTAAGTATACTTGTATTTGCTGATTTCAAGTGGTAAATAAATTAATAGATGATTAAGTTGAGAAACAGATTTAGACACATAAAAAGTAATTCCAACACAACTTGAATTGGATACACACAGCTTGTTCCAAGCTGTGTGCAAAAATTAAAATTTTGGTAATTAAAAGCTTAATAACTGTTAATTAAAAGCTTAATAACTGTTAATTAAAAGCCTAATTAAGTAGTGCTCAAAATTCAATAGGTAGTGTTCTAATTCAAAGCCGTGTCGTATTCCAATACAGCTCACACAGCGATCGGAATTCAAACACGTGGATGTCGGAATTACGCATTAGTACAATTTGAAGCGCGGTCGGAATACGTCTCACCACGTGCCTAATATAGTCACACACAGTGTCGGAATATAGGGATTTGGTAGGTTTGCATTCTAAAGGCTTCTAAATAAATATGGCAACATTTTGTGACATTTCATCGTTTCTGGCGCGTAGTACGGTGTTTTGAGAGTCACGTAAAGCAAACAGAACTCGAGTAACGCATGCGGTTATTTTTTATAGTTTTTCATTTCTTGATGCATCCTTAATGTGTCGGAATATACCGCATTTACCCTACACTAGGCTAGATGATGGAGCACTGGTGCACCACCAGAATGCTTTATCTTTTGCAAAACCTGAATTGGCACCTGATGAGCACCCTGAATTTTATTATTGCATCATTCATATTTCATGGCAGTGATGGCACAGCACATCAGTTACAGTGCTTTTGAGGAGCTTGTGCTGATTTACGATGGCCTGGCAACTACCAGGTTGCCTGCTGAAGACCACCTTCTTCTTCTTTTTGGGATGTCCACGCAGGGTAGACTTAAAGCCACAGGACATCCGCAACTGCAAGGATGACCGTGGGGCCTGAGAGCTTGTGTAGTTTTAGACCTCTTGGCATGGAGGTCAGACCACTTTATTTTTGCTCATAAAAAATCAGTGGACACAATGGCTGAGTGTGACACTGACTGACTGACAGCAAGCAAAAGAAAAGCAACACAGGGCATGAAAAATATCAGAAAGCAAGGGGCCAAGGGCCATTCCTCAAAAGAATTCAGCACAGCATTTGGCCACAAATTGAAATTAGATGGACTAATATAAGTATGATGACTTAGATCAGGGTTCTCCAAACTATGGCCCATGGGCCACATCCGGCCTGCCACACAATTTCATGCGGCCCGCCGGATGAAATCGTGAAATGAATAAATAATTATTGTATGGATGGCATCGCAGAATTATTCAAAGCTGGGACCTACAGCAATCCCTTGATTAACGCAGTTAATAAATCCCCGAGTTTAACCGTGTTAAGCA